TATGTACTATATATATGCATGTATATATATACATTCATATACATATTGAATGCATTGTACCAGACATATACATTCATATACACATACGTACATACACTTTATTGCATCTTGTACGCATCTCACACACTTGTTGACCCGTGCCACCAAAGGTCCGAAATTGGACGTGTACGTATTGCTTTAGAAACGTTCTATCGCACAGCTAGAACATAGTCACACTCGCTCCTCAATAAAATGGAGAGTGCAATACATTTATATATATATATACACAAGCCTACATACAGAAAGTATATACATGTACATATGTATATAGGTTTGTAAAAGTACACAAACCCAAATAAAAGTAAGAATACAGCCTCAAAGCACATACATGTATGCAAACGTACATACATACACATATACAACACCAGCACCCACCTCAAGTGACTTGTTGACCTGTGTCACCAGCCAGTCGAACACAGACGCGTAGATCCACTTCGCAAAAGCGTCTCGTGCCGCCAATGCTTGCCCACTACTCATGTTCTTCTGCAGCGTGTCCTTTCCGGCGACAATCAGAGCCTTGGTCAGCCACTTGGTCAGGTCTTTGGCTTCGATGCCCATGAGCTCGGAGGCCTGAACAAGAGCTGGGTCGTCATCCTTTAGCTGTAGGAACGGGTTCCAAATGGGAAATGAAATGTATGGAGAAGATATTAGACGGCAGTGTCAATTGAAAGGTATATTGCAAATAGGAGAATAGGTAGAAGGCATAACAAAAAAGTATCGTCTGTACTAAATCATCTTTAGTTACTCTATAGCCATTTTTATTGATTGGAAATGGCTAAAGATACATCGTGATCTGCAATGGGGCGAAGCGGCTAAGAATAAACACAGTTGCATATGAGAGCTAGGCCATGGACCCATCAATGGTACCTTTGTTCGATATTTGGGTTTGGTGTGTAACATATATATGTCACATTCTAAAATTCGGGGCGATTTCTTCGTCCCAAGGACATGAAGTGTGAATATAAAACTAAGATGCGAGTCTACAAATCAAATACATTGTACATCAATCGGGAGTGCTGCATAAACAATTGTGCATCCAAATATTAGAATCCGGTTGATAGACACTAACTTTGGGAAGTGCTCCATAAACGAAACAGTGTATCAAATTATTGAAATCGGGTCGATAGGTGTTTAATTACCTGAGCTTCGTCGCCTTTGGATTTGCCGATCGTGATATTTCCAATGTGCAGGATCGCGGCAACCAATTTCCACAGAGAAATACGTTTTTCATCGTCTACCCCACAGATAGTCAGCGACCTATATTGAAAACGTACAACATCAGGAAAACGTGTATGTCGATATCCCTGATTTAGAAAAAACGTACGTAGAAATAACTACTGAAATGTTTTACACAAGCAATGAGTAAATTTAATACATGATTTCTAATGCGCACTCTGGCGGCGACCAATTTCAGATAAACGTTTTTCGTCGTCCAATCCACAAATGATCAACGACCCACACCGATATGTACAACATTGCAAATAAGTGTACGGGAATGGATCCTGATGATATGTACATGATTAAAAGCAAACATACGCAGATTTAACTACGGTTATGTACAACATAGGAACATGTGTACGGAAATATAACTACGGTTATGTACAACATAGGAACATGTGTACGGAAATATAACTACGAGATACGTACATTAATAAAATGAGTATGTAAACAGATGATGATGAGTATTGAATCTGAGCACTATAAACATATCTCAGTTGGTGATCACTATCAACTCCTCTATACCCTCCATATGGTCTACTCGAGATAATGTTCCCCCAAGTACTTGAGGTCCATGCAGTGTTTCAGAATACATCCAATTCAGAGGCGATCGACTCATATCATACAAGAATAATACATAGATCTATACCCACACGGACACAATATATACTTATATATATAATACATGCATATAGAAGACACAGAAAACAGGCCTCACTTACTTATTGGTTTCTCGGAACTCCTCTGCATCGTCCATACGGTCTACTAGAGGGGCGTCTCCCTGGTTGATGTAGTTGAACTCCATGCAGTGTTTTAATCCCATTCCTTCCAATTCAGGGTCATTTGTTTCATAGAAGGCTGCGCACAGCTGGTAGAAGATATGATACGAACGCTCTTCCTCGGCCTGGAAAACCACTCGCGATTTCTCCAGTAAATAGGTGTATACCAGGGCACTTTATATTAGAATAGAGGTTAAAGAAAAATGATCAATTAGGATATATATCTATTTGTATATATATTAATATAAATGTTACAACCAGTAAGAACCTGCGATCAGATTGGATATACTTTAAATTTTGGCGGTCACAAAGTCAACGTGTATAAGAAAAAATATTCGTATATCCTGTGCAGTTTAAGCCAGACATACAACTAAGCAAAGCATTTATATTTGCATCGGAAATAAAATAACCAGACACACAAACAATATATAACCAGAAATACACATATAAGAACCACACACGCACATAGAATAACCATACACACACATGACAGTCAGGCACGCACCTACACTAACCAGACATACACATACCCGGTGATGGAGTGATGTTTCTTCTCGAACTGGATGGCTATGTACTTTCCGAAGCGGGAACTGTTATTATTTCTCGTGGTCTTTGCGTTACCAAAGGCTTCCATGATAGGATTCGAGGCCAATACACGAGACTCCATAGTGTTCTCACCACCACTCCCACCCACTACGGCAAAGTACCGCATACAGTACTTGGCACTGACCGTCTTGCCTGCCCCTGATTCTCCACTGTAAGCGCAAGATGATAATGAAATGAAATCAATAGTAGAATATATATATATATATATA